ATGCTGAGGCAGGCTGAGGCTGAGGCTGAGGCTGAGGCTGAGGCTGAGGCTGAGGCTGAGGCAGGCTGAGGCTGAGGCTGACGCAGGCTGAGGCTGAGGCAGGCTGAGGCTGTGGCCGAGGCAGGCTCAGGAGGCTGAGGCAGGCTGAGGCTGAGGCCGAGGCGGAATGCAAGGATCTGAGGCTGGGCTTGATGCACGGCTGTAGGCTGTGGCTGTACGGGGGCTGAGGCTGAGGCTGTGACTGCGACTGCCGTTGCCACTGCGACTTTCGTTGCGAATGCGACTGCGACTGCGAGAACAGCAGAATTCTACAACTGGATTCCCACCTGAATCTTAAGGGGGATGCTTCCAGATATGCTTATACACATCGCTGTTAGGTTGCTTTGCCGGGATACTATAGATTTTTTGGGGGGGGGGAGGGTGGGGGAGGCGCGTTTGGTTTTCCTAGCGCATGCTCCGAATTTGTGGATGGCAGAGTGTGTGTGCACTGTTGCCGATAGTGCAGGTGGCCTGGGTTTGTACCTAACAGCGAAAGACTGAGAGGTTTCTTAATGGTTGCTTTAGGGTCAAAAGAGAGCCATTGATGACTTACCTGGGGGTGTCGGGGCGGGAGCGGGAGGGGGTACGGGTAGAAGCCGGGCTCGTTTTTTAAGCAATCAGTCACACACCTCGCGCTCTTCGACCTCCCGACTTTCCATTCCCGGGCCACATTTTGAATGCCTGGAGCCAACTGTAGGCCACTTCGTGGTCTTCGAGTCCCCAGAACTCCATTCCCGGGCCACATTTTGATTGCCCGGAGCCAACTGTAGGCCACTTCGTGCTCTTCGAGTTCCCAGAACTCCATTCCCGGGCCACATTTTGAATGCCCGGAGCCAACTGTAGGCCACTTCGTGTTCTTCGAGTTCCCAAAACTTCTCCCGGGCCACATTCTGAATGCCCGGAGCCAACTGTAGGCTACTTCGTGGTCTTCGAGTTCCCAGAACTCCATTCCTGGGCATGATTTTGAATGCCCGGAGCCAACTGTAGGCCACTTCGTGTTCTTCGAGTTCCCAAAATTCGATTCCTGGGCATGATTTTGAATGCCCGGAGCCAACTGTAGGCCACTTCGTGGTCTTCGAGTTCCCAGAACTCCATTCCTGGGCATGATTTTGAATGCCCGGAGCCAACTGTAGGCCACTTCGTGTTCTTCGAGTTCCCTGAACTCCATTCCCGGGCCACATTTTGAATGCTGAGGCAGGCTGATGCTGAGGCTGAGGCAGGCTGAGGCTGAGGCAGGCTGAGGCTGAGGCCGAGGCTGAAGGCAGACTGAGGCTCAGGCTGAAGCAGGCTGAGGCTGAGGCTGAGGCAGGCTGATGCTGAGGCAGGCTGAGGCTGAGGCTCAGGCTGAAGCATGCTGAGGCTGAGGCAGGCTGAGGCCGAGGCTTTGAACATTTGCTGACGGCCGAGGCGGAGGCAGGCTTGTGGGTGAGGCTGACGGCAGGTGAGGCTTGAGGCTTGAGGCAGCTTGATGGGTGAGGCTGAGGCGGGTGAGGCTGAGGGCAGGCCTGAGGCTGAGGCTCGAGGTGAGCTCTGAAGGCAGACTGAAGGTGAGGCTGATGAGCAGGCTGAGGCTGAGCGAGGCAGAGCTGAGGCTGAGGCTGAGCAGGCTTGAGGCTGAGGCCGGTCGATCTTCGAGGATGAGGCCTGATGCGAGCAGGAAGAAGAGGCAGGCTGCTGAGGCTGTGGGCTGTTTTTTGAGGCAGGCTGAGGCTGTGGCAGGCTGATGCTGAGGCTGAGGCTGAGGCAGGCTCAGGCTGAGTCAGGCTGAGGCTGAGGCCGAGGCTGCAGGCAGACTGAGGCTGAGGCTGAAGCAGGCTGAGGCTGAGGCTGAGGCAGGCTGAGGCTGAGGCTGTGACTGCGACTGCCGTTGCCACTGCGACTTTCATCGCGAATGCGACTGCGACTGCGAGAACAGCAGAATCCTACAACTGGATTCTCATGTGAATCTTAAGGGGAATGCTTCCAGATATGCTCCTACACATCGCTGTTAGGTTGCTTTGCTGGGATACTATAGCTTTTTTGGGGGGGGGATGGTGGGGGAGGGCGCGTTTGGTTTTCCTGCGCATGCTCCGAATTTGGAGGCAGAGTGTGTGTGGCACTGTTGCCGGAAAGTGCAGGAGGCCAGGGTTTTTACCTAACAGCGAAGACTGATAGGTTTCTAATGGGGTCAAAAGAGAGCATCTGATGACTCCCAGGGGGGTCTGGGCGGGAGCCGGAGGCGAGGGCCGGCTAGAGCCGGCTCGTTTTAAGCAAACAGTCACACACCTCGCGCTCTTCGACCTCCCAGAACTCCATTCCCGGGCCACATTTTGAATGCCTGGAGCCAACTGTAGGCCACTTCGTGCTCTTCGAGTTCCCAGAACTCCATTCCCGGGCCACATTTTGGATGCCCGGAGCCAACTGTAAGCCACTTCGTGCTCTCTGAGTTCCCAGAACTCCATTCCCGGGCCACATTCTGAATGCCCGGAGCCAACTGTAGGCTACTTCGTGGTCTTCGAGTTCCCAGAACTCCATTCCTGGGCATGATTTTGAATGCCCGGAGCCAACTGTAGGCCACTTCGTGGTCTTCGAGTTCCCAGAACTCCATTCCTGGGCATGATTTTGAATGCCCGGAGCCAACTGTAGGCCACTTCGTGTTCTTCGAGTTCCCAGAACTGCATTCCCGGGCCACATTTTGAATGCTGAGGCTGAGGCTGAGGCTGAGGCTGAGGCAGGCTGAGGCTGAGGCAGGCTGAGGCTGAGGCAGGCTGAGGCTGAGGCCGAGGCTGAAGGCAGACTGAGGCTGAGGCTGAAGCAGGCTGAGGCTGAGGCTGAGGCAGGCTGAGGCTGAGGCTGAGGCAGGCTGAGGCTGAGGCAGGCTGAGGCTGAGGCTCAGGCTGATGCAGGCTGAGGCTGAGGCATGAGGCTGAGGCCGAGGCTGAAGGCAGACTGAGGCTGAGGCTGAAGCAGGCTGAGGCTGAGGCTGAGGCAGGCTGAGGCTGAGGCTGAGGCAGGCTGATGCTGAGGCAGGCTGAGGCTGAGGCTGAGGCTGAGGCAGGGTGAGGCTGAGGCAGGCTGAGGCTGAGGCCGAGGCTGAAGGCAGGGTGAGGCTGAGGCTGAAGCAGGCTGAGGCTGAGGCTGAGGCAGGCTGAGGCTGAGGCTGAGGCAGGCTGAGGCTGAGGCTGAGGCAGGCTGAGGCTGAGGCAGGCTGAGGCTGAGGCTGAGGCTGATGCAGGCTGAGGCTGAGGCCGAGGCTGAAGGCAGACTGAGGCTGAGGCTGAAGCAGGCTGAGGCTGAGGCTGAGGCAGGCTGAGGCTGAGGCTGAAGCAGGCTGAGGCTGAGGCAGGCTGAGGCTGAGGCTGAGGCTGATGCAGGCTGAGGCTGAGGCAGGCTGAGGCTGAGGCCGAGGCTGAAGGCAGACTGAGGCTGAGGCTGAAGCAGGCTGAGGCTGAGGCTGAGGCAGGCTGAGGCTGAGGCTGAGGCAGGCTGAGGCTGTGACTGCGACTGCCGTTGCCACTGCGACTTTCATCGCGAATGCGACTGCGACTGCGAGAACAGCAGAATTCTACAACTGGATTATCATGTGAATCGTAAGGGGAATGCTTCCAGATATGCTCCTACACATCGCTGTTAGGTTGCTTTGCCGGGATAATCTTTTTGTAAGTCAATCTGTCCCCCGGTGCGAAGTTCGAATAGGGCCAGCGAGTTATTTTGAGATGAACAACGAGGTCGAAGAGGGCGGGCTAATTTAAATGTGAGGATGTCCCGAGCGAAACGCTTGTTTTGCAGAATGTTGTTGAGGATGTCTCGAGCGAAACGCTTGTTTTGTGTTCTAGATTCTCCGTCTCCTCGGGACTAGAATTCAGAGGATCTCTTAAGTGAAATGCTTGTTTTCACGTGCCCAGGTCTTGAGGATGGCTCGAGCGAGACGCTTGGTTTTACGCGTCCAGGTTGCCCAGGCAGATGTCTAGCATGAGGATTTGTTGAGGCTGTCTCGAGCGAGACGCTTGTTTGCACGTGTCCAGGTTGCCCAGGCGGATGTTTAGCATGAGGATGTGACGAGAATGTCTTGAGCGAAACGCTTATTTTCACGTGTCCAGGTCGCCCAGGCACAGTACAGCCTTCGGCACGGTACATCGAGATCGATACATTCAGCATTGCAACCTGGCGCTTCCTTTCTCGTCAAGGGACGCGCCAGGTTGCAATGCCCCGTGGCACGTCGCGCGGCGCGTCCCCGTGGCGAGTCCCCCTGGCACGTCGCGCGGCGCGTCCATCCCGCGGCACATCCATTGGCACGTTCCGTAGCGTGTCCCCTTGGCACGTCCCGCGGTGCGTCCCCATGGCGCGTCCCCTGGCACGTCGCCTGGCGCGTCCCTTGGGACGTTCCGCGTCGCGTCCTCCTGGCATGTCCACCTGTCAATTAGCTCTGGGGCAGCTACTGTACTACTAGTTATGTGCTCAGGCAGCTTGAGCTTAAGATCCAGATCAGTTCGGTCAGGACTCGGATGCAAATGAGGACTCGATCCACAACGCTATACAATGTGGGCGCGCATAAAGAAACCATCTACTTTTCGTCCGGGTATCCTGGGTTTCTTTGCTCCGCGCTCCGCGTTGACTTCCCGCGGCCGTTGAAAGAGTTGCTGCGTTCAGGGTGCTCCAGGTTTCCCCTCAGGTGCACCTCGCGCACGGCTTCTCAGGGTTGGGTTTCTTGCGAGGGTTTCTTGCGGCCGCGCCCGCACTGTAGTGCTCAATCGCGGCATGGCACATCGCAAGTTAGCACGGCGCAGCACAGCACAGCCCTCGGCACGGTACATCAAGATCGATACATTCAGCATTGCATTTCCCCGTCGCCCAATCAGGTGTTTTTTGAAGCGTTGCCATGCCTTACATTTCTATATTCCTTGCCGGGTTCGTGGGTCGATCATGTTCAGTAAGAGAAAGGCAGCGAGACTCAGAGAGAGAGAGCGAGAGAGAGAGAGAGAGTTCCAGGCTCCCACGAGGACTCCCACGAGGTCTCTTACCAAGACGCATGCTAGCACCCGTCCGTAGCCATTTATTTTGGCTTAAGCTTCCACGACTGGACGCAGGTCTTGAAGCAGGCGCGAGCGCCCCTCTGGCCTCTGTAAACCAGCCCCCCGCGCCGACACGATGGGCTCCTGCATGGAGGTCCCCAAGAAGGAGGAACAGGAGTCGTTCGACCCGGCGCGGTACACGGACCCCGCCAGCCTCTTCGACGCGCTCGCGTTCACCGTAGAGGGCCTCCACCCCGTGCGCTTGGTCCGCATGTCGTGGCTGCTGCAGCAGCGCGGCACCGTCCTGAAGAGGCGCCAGGAGCTGCCGGAGGAGGCCTTCGTGTCCGCGGACGAGTTGCGGGCCGTCTGGGAGGCCGGCGGGCGAGGAGGGCAAGACCAGGTGGCGCCGATCATCACCATCTCGTTCTGCTGGGACTCGCGCGAACACCCCGACCCCAAGAGGTTGCAGCTGAATTTGGTGATAGACACTCTAGAGAAGGAGCGCCTCAAGTACTCCACAGCCAGAGGTGACTTCAAGGGGTTCAGCGAGATGGGGATTTTTTGGGACTGGCCCTCGCTACTGCAGGGCGACCCGATCAAGGCCGAGGAGGCGAGGGCCGCCGCCCTGCGGCAGGGCAAGACCGAGAAGGACGCGCAGGAGGCCGCGGACAAGGCCAAGCGGACCCCCGCCGAGAAAGCCGCCTTCAAGCACGGGCTGGAGGAGACAATGGACCTCTGGTACGCCCACCAGGCCACCACTGTGCTCCTGCTCACCCAGCACCCCCGCGAGCGGGGCAGCGCGCGCGAGTGGGGCTGCGACCAGTCCGGCTGGACGACGTACGAGCGCTGCTCCGCGGAGCAGATCAAGCAGGTCAGGCGCTGGGAGGCAAAGTGGACCGCCGTGGCCGACCTGGGGCAGGGGGCGCGGGCGAAGGCGGCCGGGAGGAGGTGGCCGGTGGGCCCGGACGAGTTCGACCGGCTCATCGAATACAGGTCCTTCACCAACGGCGCGGACAAGGAGGCGGTGAAGGCGCTCTTCCGCCGGATGAGCCGCGCGCAGTTGGGCGGCGTGACGACGCTGGACTTCACCAGGATGCCACCCCCGACCCCCGAGCAGGCCGCGGGGCTCGCAGGCTGCTTGCGGCTGTGCGCCCGCCTGCAGAAGCTGGACCTGCAAGGATGCCAGATCGGCGCCGAGGGCGCGCGGGCCCTGGCGGGGGCGCTGCCCTCCCTGCCCGGCCTGCAGGAGCTGCGCCTGGGCGGCAACAGAGGTCCCGCACGAGATTCGATCCGGGTCGGTTTGATTCGGCGAATCGCATCGCCGCGAATGCCGATTCGATGCTGGAGGCCCCCTGCCACGATCCGGTTCGCGATTCGATTCGGTTGCCGAGCGATTCGATTGCGATCCGGTGCAAAGCGGGCGACGATCCGGTTCGCGATTCGATTTGGATCCGGCTGACCCGACGCCCGTTTGCTGCGCGAGAGGCCGCCAGGCTAAAGAAAAGGAGGTGGAAGGGGAGGAGGTGGACAGCGAGCTGTCCGGACCGGGGGGTCCGGGGCCGGACCGGGGGCCCCCGTCGCCGCCGGGGCGTCGTCGTCGTCGTCGTCGTCGTCGTCGTCGTCGTCGTCGTCGTCGTCGTCGTCGTCGCTGGCCGTTGCGGGCCTCGGGGGCCCCGGAGGGGGGCCCAGCTCAGCGTTCTGACGAGGATTTCGTGGCGGATCCAGCCTTTGCGACGAGCGGCGCGCGAAACGCCGCCGCCGCCGTCGTCGCCGCTGCCGTCGAGGGAGGAGGACCGAGGTTCCAGGTTCGAGGTTCGGCCTCCGGCTTTTCGGCTGTTTTGGGCTTTCGGGGCGTCCGGTGCCCCCGCGCCGTGGCCACGGCCGGATCCGCCCCCCTCTCCTCCAAGCCGACGACGACGACGACGACGACGACGACGACGACGACGACGACGAGGGGGAGGAGGGCCCCCGTGGGCCCGGGAGGGTCCCCGAGGGTGGGGCCCGGGAGGGTGGCCCGGGAGGGTGGCCCGGGAGGGTGGCCCGGGAGGGTGGGCCGGGAGGGTGGCCCGGGAGAGTGGCCCGGGAGGGTGGGCCTGGGAGAGTGGGCCCGGGAGAGTGGGCCCGGGAGGGTGGCCCAGGAGGGTGGCCCGGGAGGGCGGCCCGGGAGGGTGGCCCGGGAGGGTGGCCCGGGAGAAACCCGAGGGTGGGGCCCGGGAGGGTGGCCCAGGAGGGTGGCCCGGGAGGGTGGCCGGGGAGGGTGGGGCCGGGAGGGTCGGCCGGAGGGTGGCCCTGGAGGGTGGCCTGGGAGGGAGGGTCCCCGAGGGTAGGGCCCGGGCGGGTGGCCCGGGAGGGTGGCCCGGGAGGGTGGCCCGGGAAGGTGGGCCCGGGAGGGTGGCTCGGGAGGGTGGCCCGGGAGGGTGGCCCGGGAGGGGAGGGTGGCCCTGGAGGGTGGCCCGGGAGAGTGGCCCGGGATGGTGGCCCGGGAGGGTGCTCGGATGCATTCTGGCTTAGCGAAGGGTTATAAGACTTAACATGGTTTAAGTTGGTTTAGTTAAGCTTTAAGATGGTTTAAGTTGGTTTAACTGGATTTAGCTAATGCTTAACATGACTTAGCTCTGGGGTAAGAAAGTTAACGACAGCTAAGGTGTTATGTAGGTATATGTAAAACTATGTAAGTCATGGTAAACCGTGCTAAAGTATGTTAAACTATGTTAAGGAAAGCTAGCGAAAGCTAACTCAAATTAAGTGGTTAGCCAACGTACGTTAAAGTAAGTTAAAGCAACTTAAAGTACGTTAGCGTATGTTGAATCAAATCAACGCCATCGCGACGATGGAGGGAGGACGGGGCGAGGAGGAGGGGACGGGATGCGCATAAGGAGGAGGAGGGGCCGCCGCTGCAGCTGCAGCCCCTCGCAGCATGGAGCTGCAGCTCGAGTTGTTGGGCGCGGCTGCAGCCGCCGCGCGCATGCGGACTCATTTTTTTCACCCGCTAGCTATAGCGAGGCGGGTTGAGCGCAGTCGCGCGGCCTCCACTGAGGGACCGCGCGGGCGACGCCCGCATGACCTCGTCGAACGCCACCCACTGCAGCGTGGCGCCAGCAGTCGTCCAGACGCTCGCGCCGTGGCTGCTGCCAGCGCCGCGGCGCGCCCACCGCTCCACCAGCGCCGCGTGGAACGGCTGCGGCATCTGCGGGGGGCACGTGACGGCGACCAGCTGCCGCACCATGCCCATCACGTAGCCGCCCCCCGCGTCCCACAGCACCGCGGCGTCGCCCGCGGACACGCGGTCGCGTTCGTTCAGGCGACCGTGCCGCGTCCTTAGCGAACTCGTCGTCCGCGATGCCGTGCATCCGCTCGGACGCGACGTCCCGCAAGACGCTGCGGTCCCACCTGTCGCAGACCGAAGCGGCACTGCTGAACAGGTGGTTGGCGAATTTCTTCTCCGTCTTGTGCTTCCGCCCCAGGGGCCAGCGCGTGGGCAGCGGCCCGAACTCCACGATCAGCGCGGGCACGCGCATGAGGTCCGCGCCCGCGCCCGCGCGCCGTGCGAGCGCGCGGGCGGGGGGGCGGCTGCAGCCGCGACGCCATCATCATCATCACCATCATCATCATCATCATCGTCATCACCATAATCGTCGCCGTCATCATCAATCGCAATCGTCATCGTCGCCGTCGCCACCATCATCGCCGTCGTCATCAACCCCATCATCATCATCATCATCATACTCATCGTCGTCCTCATCGTCATCGCCATCATCATCCCCATCATCATCCTCATCCTCCTCATCGCCGAGCTGCAGCTCGGCGGCGCGGGGCGGGGCGGGCGGGGGAGCGGGCGAAGCGATTGCATAATGGAACTTCGGCGTCATCGGGCCCTCGCCGTAGAAGCGCTCGAACTCGCCCTAGCGGCCCCCCGCTGCGCGCTGCAGCGCCGCCGTGTCGACTGGCACGCGGTGGGCCTCGACGACGGCCTCAACGACGTCGGCCAGCTGGCCGAGACACCGCGCGCGCACCGCCAAGTCGGGCGCCCCGCGCGCCGACGACGCTGCGCGGAAGAAGTACTTGAGCCAGGGGGCCAGCGCGAGGCTCTCGGACGCCGTCGCCTTGAAGTTCACTTTCTCCCAATGGCTCTCGGATCGCTTCGGCGCAAATACGCCAGCCGTCCTGCCATCGCAGGGCTTCAGCTCTTTGCGCCCGATGGCGGGCCACTGGAAGGTCTGCGCGGCCTCGTCCAGGACCTTGTGCGTGAGACCGTGGCCTTTCGCCACGCGCATCAGCTGGCCCACGTGGAAGCCGAAGACGCCGCCGGCGAAAATGACGCGCATCACGTCCCACATGCACGCTTCCATGGGGTAGAGCTTGTGCATCGCGCGCCCGTTCCCGAGCAGGCCGCTCGTCGCGGCGAGGGCCCAACCGAGGTCGGTCTCCAAGTCCTCCAGCTTGCCCTTGCTTCTGGGCGTCAAGGACAACGCCCGCAGCTGCCTGAAGATGGCCTGCAGGGCGGAGACGGTGACGGGGGCGAACTTGGTGCTGTCAGCACACGTGTGAGGGACGGCAGTCTGTCGGGTCGTTAAGGTGGGCCTCGCGGACGCTTTTTGCGTCGTACACATTAGTGCGCATGAGGCATGGCTTCAGCCCACCGGACCCTTTGCGCCCATATATTGCATGGGTGCCGCCCTCGTCGGCCAGTATAGCACCTGGCCGCAGAAACAGGTGCGTCGGCCGCCCAGGGCGGCCGACGGTGACGCCCGCGCGCTCCATGTCGTGCTCCCCGCCGAACAGGCCGACGATGGCGCTGGCCAGCCCCGACGCACCGCTCGCTGCTTTCCTGACCAGCAAGCTCCGCACGATGGCAACCTCCACCCGCGCGTCCTACAGGGGGGCGCAAGCCGCGTGGCGCTGGATGGGCTGCAGCCCAGAGTTTCGAAGTTTGGATGCTTGGAGTTTGGAGGTTGTGAGGTGGATTGGCTGCAGCCCAGAGAATGGAGTTTGCGTCGCCCGAGTCGCGCCCTCGTTGCTCAGGGTCGCTGGGCCGAGCTCGAGGGTGCCCCAGTACCAGCCCCAGCACTTCCTGTGCAGGGTCTGGGCAAGAGCGTTGCCAGGCATGATCTCGTCCGAATAGAGGACGGTGGTCCACGGGTCCTGCGGCGTGGGCTGACGCTTGTTCCAGGCGCCCCCCACGCGCGCGGCGAAGGAGCTGCAGGAGCTGACCGTGAAGTCAAGCATGGCCTGCGGCGTTTGGACCTCGAGGTCAAAGTGCCCATCGGGGCCGTTGCTGGGCACCTTTATATCCCTGTGGATCGGGCCGCAGGCAGTGCGGTGAGCGCACGACTCGCCACGCGCCCCCCGCAGGCGGTTGCGGCTGCCGCTCGGCAGCTCCTCGCGCCCAGCTATCTCCAGGAGCGCGCCCAGCGCTGCTTGGCTGCAGAACGGCAGGGAGGCACGCAGCCCGCACAACTCATCATTCGCAGCCTGGCGTCGCAGATCGCGGGCCGCGGGGGCCGCGCCCGCAGGCGCATCAGCGCGCGCGCGCAACCGCGCCGCCACGCCGATGGCGGCGCCGCGGGCGGCGCGCGAGCGCGGCGGGGGGCGCGCCCCCAGCGTGGCTCCCTCAGCACGGCGGCGGGCGCATCGGCATCACTCCCCGTCGCGAATCGTTCCCTCGCCCAATGCTCAATGCCGCGAGCCGCGGCTGCAGCCGCGCTCGTTGCCGCCGCCGCCGCCGACGTCATCGTGCGGTGTTGGCTGCAGCCGCCGGCGGCATCACCGCGCGGTGGCGGCCGCAGCGCCCCCGCGCGCTCGCGCGCAGCGACGGCGGCAGCCGCGCCCGGTCACATCGGGTGCTACAGCACAGCGTTCGTGCATCGCCGCCGTCGCCGCCTTCGCCATTGTCAACGCCCGCGCCTTATAAGCGACAGTATCCGACCGCGGCGGGCACTCACGGCAGCATGAGTAAATCCCCGTCATGGTCCATCACGCGGACCTCCTGCAGGCCGTCGGCAAGCGACTCGCAGGCGAGGCGGGCTTGGCCGCCGCGCCGCTGCAGCGGCGTCTAGCGAGGGCACGCGCAGCGGCAGCTGCCGTGATCTACCCATATGCCGATCCTCCAAGATCGGCTCATCATAGTGGGCGTAGTAGTCGTACTCGATACCCGCGAGCCTGAAGATCCACATGCCGTCCAACCACCTGGGCAGGGGCGACGCGCGACATCCCGCCCGCGCTGGTGCATCCTGCCCACCTGCGGGCGACCATGTTTTTGTTGACCACGTTGGCCATCATCCAATAGAACAGGGTCTTCAACTGCGGGCGCGGCTGACATTTGAATGACGACGCGGCGGCCCAGCCCCCCGCCCTGCCCAGTCGCTACAGCGCGGACTGGCGCCACGCTACAGCGCGCGCGCCCTCGTAGTTCCACGCCGCTCGGTTCACCAATAAGCGCCGCCAATGGAGGGCCGAGGCGCTGCCGTGTCCCGCCCAGCCGTGGACGTGCGGGGTGCGCGGTAGGCGCGGAGGCCGTCGAAACATTGCGGCGCGGGTTCGGGCGGGCGCGGGCGGGGCGGGGCGGGGTCGCC